CCAAAGCTTTTCTTAACTTATACTTATTTCTTCTATCGTCCTCCAGATTATATTAATTTATTTCAATACACAGTGCAAATAAGAGAGCTGAGCTCTACCGTGCTGTGTGCACTGAGTAGATTGGAGGGTTTTTGGTGCTTCAGTAAAACACATTTTCATAATTTAAAATACTGCAGTATTTTAAGTTCTGAACAAAATGGTTAGAAGAGATCAGAATTATACTAGAAGAGTTAGGAAAGTGAGTGTCCACAGTAATTATTCAGATAAGAACCCAGAGAAATATACTGTGCAGTTGCAATAAAACCGAAGCACATCCAGCTTTATTTTCTTCCAAGTAATTTCAAGTTATATATATGTTTATACCAACATATTTGTAGACAGGCATATACATATATGCCTATTTGTTAGGAGTCTTTCTGAAAGTCAGAACTTCATTAATCTCTTGGTAGTCGGAGATATCATTCTGTGCCACGCTGTGTGTGATATATTTGTGCCGTATATTGGAAGGCAAGTCTGAACACAGAGTTAGTGTCAAACGCTCCTGCTTTTCAGATATGTGCCCTGCTTCATTACTGCTCCTCTGAACTACTCAGCAAAATGGACATTATTCAGCAGGAATCGCYTTGCCCCGGCTAACTAGCTGGAAAAAAAAAATTGATCAATATTTAGACCTGTTATTTAAGAGCTATAAAAAAGGTAGCCAGCAGTACTTGTCAAAGGCTGGCTGTCATATCCAATTTAGCAAAGGTGATTGCTTCTACCGCTTGGCCAAATTACACTTTGATGTCTTATCTTTGCAGAATGTGAGCTGCAGGACTGGCTTTACGTGCCTCTGAGGGACACTTTTTTATGGACTGTTATCTCCTCCAGTTACTCCGAGTTTTTCAGGTTTTCCTTTAGGAAATGGGCTAGAGATAGTTAACGCTATCTGCAGGTCGTGGGCAGGGTTGGAGCGGTAGGCTATAATTTGGAATGGATTTATAGGTTGCATGCTAAGGATGCATCTCCTGCAAACAAACCTTAACTTACTGAACTGGTCAAAGTTCGCTGAACTGGTGAACTTTGGCAGTTATCACTTTAAGCTGTGGAAATAGTAATCCTGATGCAACAAATATCTGGCTTCTCTTCGAAGAGGGACCGTTAAATTGTTGTTTCCCCTATAAAGTGCGATAAAGCTACCGTTTTAAAAAATGTTTTTCTAGCTTCTGCTAGTGACTAGCCAAATAGACTGTTTTCAGTATGACACAGACAGCATGAGCAACATTTAACACTGAATAAACCCAAGTCCTCTAATTATGATGTGGAATGCAAAATCATTAAAATAAGAAGATTCTGCATATTATGTATCTACTGGGTGTTTTTCTTTTGTGCATGTTCTCTGGATTCTCTGTGCAATCAGAGGGTAAAAACCTGTTTCTTTTGAAATGAGTTTGATTTGGTCTTATCCAAATGACCCCGGGAACTGGAGCTTTAAAAAATGGATGTGCTCAGTTTTAAAGTAAGATCATGAGGCCTGACAATACTGGTTGCAACATATGTTGGTTATGTTTCATTAGATTATGTACAGGATGTAAAGCAATTACAATCTGCTCAAGGTCAGTTAAAGAGCAGACACAAACATTAATAGTAACCAGCTCTGACCAGGGCTTGATAGGAGAGGGACAGACGTTTCCGTCTCCCTTAAGCAGGACCCTGATGGGAAATCCCATGGATGTGGTTTGGTGGGAACTCGGTTAACTTGACTGCCCCACCAGGAGAAACATTTGGTCCTTGCTAGGGCTGAGGGGCAGGKAAAGGGAATATCAGGATTTGCTTTCTTCCTCATTTTCCCCTAATCTTAATTTGCTTGGCTCTCTTGAAGAAAAGACCTTGTTGTGTCCTTTCTGCTGAACCATTGCTCCAGAGGATGCCAATTGTAAGGACTCTTCCCAAAGGAAATCCCGAGGGTGCTTCAGAACAGATGGTCGCCCGTCCAACCCCACCCGGGGCAGTTTCGTTCCGGCTTTCCATGGTGTGAGGAGCTTTTTCCTTTGCACCACATGTGCCGAGCAGCGACTTTCCCTCTGAGTGGGGATCCTCTTGGAGCCCTGCGGTGGAACTTGGACCTCATCCTGAATGGATCCTGAATGGGCTGATCCCAGCTCCTTCATCTAAGAAACATTTAGGGATCTTTGCCATTCAGATTTCCCTTTTCTACGCGGACCGAGGGAGCCCCTTGCCTGCAAATACTGCTCTCCCTCCTCTCCCTGTGTCACATCCCTGGCGGGGAGATTTCTTGGTGCTGTGTGAAATCTTCTAGGGGACGTTCTGGCATTTCTTATGGTCGCGAGTTCCTCCTCCTGCCCTGGGCCAGGTTCCTCCCCAGCTCTAGATGCTCCTTGGCGGATGCAGGTCCTGGAGGCTCCTCTAGCCCTGAATCTCCAAGAAAACTGAGCTCCCTGGCCTGCTGTGCCTAGAATGGGCTATGAGCAYGAGGAGAAAGGAGCCTGGAGACCCACCAGAGGCAAAGCTGGTTTTCTTCCTGCTCCGGGATGACTAAATTCGRTTTCCGGTGGTAGTGATATAGGAAGATGGATCCTTGAGGGAGCTGCTGGCAATTCCTGCATGGAGCTGCAGCCATCTACAACCCCAGAGTGAAACAAACCCCACGTTGGGGCCTCTTCTGATGCAGGTTACCTAGTAGAGTCRCAGGATGCTCCTGGTAAGCGCCAGGGATGCAATGGAAGGAGCTTCCCTGTTCCTGGCTAGGGCAGCCTCGACAGCAGGGAGCTAGGCAGCGATGCCAAGAGYGGGATCTCGCCGGGACCTGTGCGGAGCGAGTCAGGCACAGCCCGGATTCGCTGGTGCTGGTTAAGTCATACGAGCTCTTCAGTCAGGCCCGGCTAAAATGCTCTTTTGAGGTCCCAGCGAGGAGATCTTAGGTGTTGCAGCCTAAAAGTTTGGGAAATGGAAAATATTTTGCTSTTCACGTTCTCTGCAGCCCATGAGTATTCAGTCTTGCCCGTCTGCTTAGGCTTTCTCCGGCATAATTTTAAATGACTCAAAAAATGGGATTTTCAATACTCTGCTCTGTGCTCCCGGGACACAATGACAAAGTGCATTAGGCTGGTGCTGCAGGTGTAAATTATGTAACGCTTCTACTGCTAGGACTAATGTGGTCCCTTGCTCAAGTTCATCCTTCATTCCCTCCTCTGCACTTGAAGCTTGTGCTTGATCTTGAGCTTGTTTAAATCCAGTTTGCTTGTTTTTATAGTGAAATGTATGCAGATTTCTAAGTGGCAGTCATTTGTGTTCTACAGATATCCAAGGACTGTGAAGCAGCTGCAATTCAGTTACCAGATATGTTTTTAAGGCTGAAATTTCTTCCCTTTCTACAACATAGCTTATGATTTTTAAAGCACACAACGTTTTATATTAAGCTGAGTTCTGAACTGCTATGTAATTCTCCTTTTCTCCTGAAAAAAATATTCCTAAAAGCTTTTCCTGCAGTGGGAAGAAATTTAAGATAAAATACCTAAGGTTACTTCAGTAAGCAAAATTATTAGGAAGCACTTCCTCAAGGAGAGTTTGTGCTGCTTGCACATCTAGCTAATGCAAAAGGGATGCTCGGTATTTAAAAAGCTTCCTTGGAAGTAGTTTTGAAGCATTGGAGCAGTTTTTCCTTCCTATAATAGTAGTTGTAAAAGACTTTAAAAGCCACACAATTATTCCTGAAATGTGATGTCCTTCCTTAGAAATGAAAGTTAATGTTCAAGGGGTTAAATGGAAGACGGAATGGTCTTAAACTTCAGTCTTCTGTGCACTCGTTAGTTTTATTGAAAGACATCAAATATCCTGACACATCTTCACCACGGCTGCATCGTGTGCTGCTTGGAATCACTGCTGGAGCAATAAAATGCACCCAGATTTTTGCGTTGTGCACATCATGCTGCACCATAAATGCAAAAACAGTTTTATTTGTCAATATCCAAGGCACTGAGGAGGGACTAGGAAAGGGGATATATTTACGCAGAGCTTCTTCCACACTTTTGGAAGGGTGGTTTACAAAGAACTGGAGAAGTTGTAAGGAGATCAGGCTAAAGTTCTGTGCTTAATTCAGACCTTATTTCATCTGGAAGAACTTTGAATTAGTTTCCTCCTCTCTCTCGTTAGGATGACAAGTCTTTAAAACATTGTGATACGATGATGTTACAGAAAGGATCCTTCGTATATGATACGGGCTTGACCTATTTGTCCTGAATTACTGCGGATAATATCTTTGAAAAGGGTTTATATGCAGTTAGCGGTTCATTTTCAGCTAGTATTTGGCATTAGTCCTACAAAAAATGCATAAATGGGCAAGTACAGAATTCTGCCGACATAAAATTATCTTTGTGGACGCTCAGCTTTAAGTGTCATTTTCTGTCAAAACAGGTCTTGTATTTCTCATCTTTTAATCTTTGCACAACTATTTAACTGTAACATTGATGGGGGGGAAAACACCTATAGTCATTCTAGGGCAGAATTATCACAAAAAAAAAAACACCCAGGTATTTTAAAAAATAAAGATTTGGGGGAAAATGGTTCTTTAGTTGTCTGGAGGGAACAGGAGATTGCAGGAGGGGAGAGCTGGAGAGTCCCAGAGCTGGCAAGTTATCCAATAACTTCCACTGCCAAGTGCTGCCTCTTCCAAAGGAAAAGCAGTGCTCTGTTATAGACCTGCAATATCTACTCCGTACAGAAGGTCTTTCCTATATTTTAGCTGACGATTACTAGAACACCTAATTAGCATTATTTTTAATTAAGTATCACTTTGAAAGAAATTCCTCCTTTTTTTTTTTTCCTTGCTATAGACCATTTCATTACCAGAAGCAATTTTGAACATCATTTCTATGACTTTTCTGTATCTATCTTTTAAGCTTTATTTCTTTGGGTATACCCAACAGGGCAGGCAAGTTTCTTGCAATTCTGTAGCAAATTTAAAGCAGGTTGTAAGACTAGTTAGAAAGGGACTTACTTACCCTGTCTTCTTCGGCTCTTAAGTCGGGCATAGTGCTAACACAAAGGCTTATAGCTGTGGTGGCCACAAAGAGGATGGAGAGACAAGCAAAGACTTTGCCTGGAAGTCCTGACTGGGGATTTTCTACCATATCTCTGAGTCTGTTCATAAACTGTCCAAATTTAGTTTTCTCATCCAGAACACACGCGGCTTCTTTGCTCTTGCGGAGCTGCTCCTCTTTGCGCATCTCAGCCAACTCCTGCAGCTTTTGGAAGAGTTTTCGGAAGCAGCAGTTCTCCAGGTTGGATTCCTCAATGCCCCAGTACCTCAGCTCCTCCTGGAAAGACAAGGCACACGTGTCTCGTAAGAGCATCAGCTTCCCTGCTGCCAGAAAGCTCACGATCATCCCGAAAGCATTGGGGTTCCTGTCAAAGAAGAACTCGTGGGTGTCTTCATCGTAGTCATCACACAGCTGTATAATCTCTTCGTAGGTGCTGCAAAACTTTAGTTTGCTCAGTCTGGTCAGGGGAAATTCATCTAAAGTGCTCCAAGGTAGYAGGTATTTGATTCCTCCCACGTTTATCATGATCTCTGTCTTTAGATCAACTGTGGAGACTTGGTCAGGACGGAAAATCCTCCTGGCTCTTTGGTAATGGACCCCTTTGACAGAAGGGGTTTCGACRGACACAGGAAAGAAATGGCTCAAAGAATTGCAAGAGTTGTAGCTAATATTACTATAGTCTTGGTCGCTGCCTCCTGAGAGAATAGGCATCTCTRAGAGTTCTCACTGGGACATCCGAAAGGGCATCAGACCAGGGTTATCTGCAAGTCAAAAGATACAGGAAGGAGAGAAAGCACAGCAGAGGTTATTGCAAGAGAAAGGGAGTTTCGGGCTACTTTCCTAAATGACAAAATTACCGAGTGCCTGACTGTAAGCAAAAGTCACCTCTAGGCTCCTTCCTGGCATCTGCAGCCTGGAAGGCAGTTTGCTTTGCAGGGCGACTCGTCGTCTGGCAACACAGAGACCCGGGGAGAAGCTAAAGCCTCGCTCGGAGTCATCGCAAAGCGTCGAGCACCGGCAAATCAGCCTGCRAAGGACAGAGCCATCCTGCCTACTGCCACTTCGCTGCAATGTCCCAGCTCTCTTAGTACTGTAGCCCCTTAAACACACACAAACTCAATCAAGCTGCTCAAGAGGTACTGGAGTTATGAGGCTCGGCTGGCTGTGAGGTTCCTAATTGCTTTAGCGGGGATGTTCGCAGCSGTCTCCTCTCGCTGCCCGCCTGCCTCGCAGGGGGGCTGTGAGGATTAACTAGCTGATGTTTGTGAAATGCTCTGAGGATGCAAAGCKCTGGGCAAATGATGAGTGTTTTTATCAAGCCAGTCTCACGAYGCTGCAAACTACTAAGAAAATACAGTGAACATGAGCCAGTGCCCACYCAGGAGAATAGTACGGTGCGTGAACAGAAAGCAAAGTATTTTGTCAGTTCAAGGGGAGAGAAATTGAAAGACCCTCCCCCTTCCTCCTATCATGAACAAAAGCCTTTTTTTCCTCATGATTTCTAAAGCTTCACAGTTATCCCCCCCTCCCCAAGTGGGTGAGCTGCAAAAACCCAAGGGAAGTTGCCCAAAGTTACTCACCAGCCGGCCACGCGCTGCCGCCCGGCGCCCGCCTTGCCCGCAGGTGAGGGGCACATGCCGCAGGCTGCTCCGCTCTCCTTCCCGCAGGAGGACCCGGGGATGTTTTACAGTATTGATTACATGGAAAATCCAAATAGCAGCCTGGAGATCGCAGCCTCTTCTCGCTTGCTTTCCTGCTTCTGTGGAAGGGGAAAATATTCATATGTGTTCACGTAATAGATACGGTGCTAATAGATCTTTTGCAAAGCAGGCAGCGTCTTAAGTGGCAGCTCCTCTTCTGGACTCCTGGGGCTTCCTGGTGATATTTGCTGAGTGAGGACTGGTGGATCCTGCCCTCTCCCTGTCTCTCCTCTCTTTTCCCATGGGACTGTCAATGTGGTCCTGGAAGAGGAGGGGAGAGGGAAGGGGGAAGGGCTTAGAAATAATCTCTCCCGCATCCCTCCGTCTATTCAGCGAGCAGCAGGCASCAGCTGAGTGAGAACATGGAGTACAAGGACAGGCTCCGACTAATCAGGTTTAGTATTAAGTAAATTCCAGCAAAACTAGTTAATAAAACAATTCCAATTCCTTTTAACTCCTGCCTTATTTGCTTGCTCTGGAGACATCAGTAGCATTCCCTAGGGGCAGCTTCCCTGGCCTGCCTCCCCTATTGAAACAGGGATTTGATGTTAAGTATCCCTGGATGGGAAGGGAAGTGTCTTGGTCCCAGGAATGCTGGGCCTCGGTTGTCCTTTGGCTGATAGGAAAGGGTATATAGGCACCATATAGGACAGGGTGCCTGGCTTTCAGAGGAGAGGTGCTGGATGCTCCCTGTCCTGGATCAGGAGTGATTTCCAGCAGTCAGGAACTTCCTTTTCGCATGAGGGGAGATCAAACACAATCCTCTTCTCCTACATACCTGCGAGGGGCTGAGCATGCTCTAGTGCTTCTGGATCCTGCCTGTAGGTCTTGGACTGCCTAAGTTAAAAATTGGGATGACAAAGATTTGACCCCTGCTTGTCCTCAGGCAGAGGGTTCAGAAGTTTTTTGTCAGCTCCCGGTGACAGGTGACCCTGTGCTACTCCCAAACTCCCTTAGGAAAACCTTGGCTTGTGTTTATACGCAGCTCGGCTGGCGCTGCTGAGCCTGAATGCCGTTAGCGCTGAGGTGTGCGAATCCCCCGGACCTGCTTCTCCCCCTGCAGGCCCCACGGCCCCGTGCCAAGGTGCTCGTCGGAGTCCGAACGTCACTTCTGCTCCTTCCTTCTCCCTCGCGCTGCGGGGCAGGCGGTGCCTTCGCCTGCCCTGTGCTCCTCGCAGCAGCAGCACCACTGGCTTCTGCTGATCTCCAGCACCTAAAGCAGCTGTTTATGAGCACTGAGCATCACGTTCCCGGCCACAGCYGAGCACAGGAGTCTTGGCTAATTGGACCTTTTGGCACATCTCTGCTGGCCCATGTGGTGCCCAGAACATTAACTTCTTATTGAGCGTCACCACTGGGATTTACACTCCGGTCCTAATTACACCATCCACTGAGAAAGACCAGATAGATGCCTGGAGGCAGCAGCGTTTGGGGAGCAGAGCTCACAGTCACTTCAATCCTACCACCTTCGTGCAAGATGCCACTTGCTCTGCCTATCAGTCTTCCTTTTGGATGGCTTTTTGCAAAGCAAAAGCGAATCTTTTCTAATTAACTTTGGATGGATTGTTTCACGAAAGGATMAAAACAATTAGTGTTGCCTCCTTTCCTTGCAAAGCCCTGGTGAGACGTGTTTGCAGGGTGATATTTCTTAAACCAGTTGACACAAGTAAATCTGAAGCAATGAGTAAATATTGCAAAACATAGAATGATTTGTTACATGTAATTGTCAAAAATGTGCTTTCTTTTAATGTTTAAGTCTTCACTTCTGGAGTTGATCATTATTTTGTTGGAATCTGCAGCAGTATCTGTGGCTAGATCAGGATCTCACTGCCAGCTCGAGCCATTCAAGTATCTGCCCTTGAGCTATGTGTCTCCATAAATGAGGCAGAGAAAAGACAGAAATATTTTTATCTTGATTTTATCAGTCGGAAGTGAAGGCTCGGAAATGATAAATGCCTTATCTGGTACCTGRCAAAGCCAGTCCCCAGTCTCAGCCCTGAAAGTCTTCAGTGTGTAACAAGGTAAGCGGTGCTGCTACCCCAGCCAGACCTGCACTCTGCTCATCCCGAGCCCCACTACCACATGGATTGTGAGCTCCTCCTTATCTGCTTGCTCTTTCACTTGTTTTTCCTGTTTCAAAGCTAAAATTTTGTAGTTTTCCTGTTAGATCTCAGTGAACTTGCCCTATTCACTATGAAGTTCATAATCCCGATTCTCTTTTTTTTTTTTCTCATCTGTTTTCTTTAGAGTTTCTGGGATTACCCACTCCTTGCTCCTCAGCAACTCCTGTTATGTGCCCTTTGCACCTTAAATGMAATTTCCATATACTTTAGTTATTTGCAAAAATAAATGCCAGTCCTGTCTGCTCCTCCTTGTTTCTCCTTTCTGTTGTTCCTGCCAGTCCACAGCAACCTGTTTTAGACCTGCTGACACATCCCCTTTGCACAGGAAGGGCCACATGCTGCTGCCAAGAAGAAAGCTGAGCAGAAGAGGTGGAATTCAGAGGAGAATCATCCCTTTATAGTGCTTGGATTTTTCCTAGTAGTTCAGTAATGAGCTGATTCATGGGGTTCATATTTAGGTATTGATAAATACTTAAAGGCCATAGAAAATGAGAAACCCAGTGAAGGTCACTGGCTCTAGTATTTTTCCTACCTGTGATTTCATTTTTCCCATTTTGTTCTCTCTAATTGTGCCAGAATCCCTGTCAGACAGCAGATTTAAAATGTACCAAAGTAAGGGGGTTTTTTTTGGTTTTCTGTTTTTTTTTTTTTTTTYCCTTCACTGAGCACATAATTAAACAGTGGAATTTCTGGGCACAGGGTGTTGTGGCAGCTGGAAGTATGAGGGGTTCAGAAACGGTTTGACAAATTCACATGAGGAGGGTCCACGAGGTCAGTCCAACATCTAGCTCCGGACAGCAGGAATTCGCATATTGCTGTCAGGGGGGTGGCATTTCAGTGGAAATATCGCAACGTGCTTATTGACCTGATCTGCTTGATTTCTAGATTTCTGATCGGGGAGTACATGGGGGCTGCATGGACCTGGTTGTGACCCCATGGAGAAGTTTGTATGTGGGGAACAGGCAAAGAGGGTGACCTGAGCACTATTGGGTTCATCACACAGTACTTCCCTGGCAGTATTTTCCTGTCAGAACTGCAAAAATAGCTGGAAACAAAACTCTGGTTATATGTGCCTGTATATATGTGTGTGTGCCAGACTAATGATGCCTGTTTATAATAGACAATCTCACAAAGGGCTAGGCTGCACATTCAGAAAATGCATGTGCTCCCAGGGCTTCCAATCATTCTGCAGGGAGCAGGCAGGTAATTTAATAAAGGCAGTATTGTCAATCTTCCTTCCTTCCCAACTGTGCTTTTTGTAATGCTTAAATATAATACCGAGATAATTACTTTGCCTGGCATCTATAAGAGAAGACGCATTTCAGGCTTTTGAAGTCAGAGAGAAAACAAAAGTGTAAATCAAAGTAATTATTTAAGGAAATGCGAATGCACCGAAGGAATGAGCATACAAGAGAGAAAAAAAAAWTAAGAATAAAAGAAATTTAGTTTCAAAACCCACACTGCTTCATTCAGAGGCTTAGAAGTCAGCCCCGTGATGAATATTTACTTGGTGCAATTTCATCACGGAATTATTGGATGCTGTTCTTTTCTGTCACTTGAGCAGCTAGCCTTTTGTCTGTGAGGACTAATTCTTTGCTAAGCCCCAGCTAATGCATGGACCTGTCCTTTCCCAGGTTCTGGTTTTGTCTGTGCCATGTGAATGCCTCCGATAAATCAAATAATTTTTCATTTACTTGCAAAATAATCGACACGGATTGAAAGGAGCGTTTGAACACTGGAGACTTAGTTTAAATGCTTCCATTGTGTTCACAGTTGGTTAACAGTTCTAGAATTAATTGGATTTAGATAGCCTTATTACATGGAAATTCAACATCTTTTCAGATCCTCATATTACTCATTGGGCATAAAAAAAGAATTTAGCCTTCCTTTCTTAGTTTAATTATGATATTACATATTGCAAGGTAAACTTTCAGGATTTATGCCTACATTTTGTTCAACCCAGCAGCGTTAGCTTCATGTTCCTGATTATTTCCTCATAATTGGTCTTTATAGAGCAATGCAAATACCCTTCCTGGGCAAAAGCCTAGTTTGTATGGATATTTAAATTGACAGTAAGGAGCTAAATTCACCCGTTC